TTGACTGGATGGAGGGGTGGGGACTGGGGCAGGCGGGTCGCCGCAGCCTGCTTTGATTGGGTAGGCCCATTTCTCTTTCTGTGCTGTGTTGAGCTGGTCATTATCCAGCCATGTGTGAGCTTGCTTACCGTTTCAACGGTTTGTGTTAATATATGTATATGACATCTGTTTACTGGTGCTGTACATACTTGAATTTGCAGATTCTGTGCTGTTCATTTCAAGGTATGGCCGCTTGCACCACATGCAGGTTTCTAGTGGTCACATCACACACGGTAGCGGAGTGACTAGTACTACCCCATGTTGTCATTCCTTCCATGCACACCAGTCCAGAAGGGGTGATTAGACTGTCTGATTTCTACTACATAAGGCCACAGCCAGCCGCGGTACAAACTGGTCTGAATGACTCATACCACTCAACATACAGGTGACTAATGGACCACCACCAGCCTCCAACAGAGTGAAAATAGGATGAAGCTCTTCACATTAAAGTGATCTGCAAGAACCCATAAGAGTCACCAATACACAGCAAGCATGCATCACAGCAGCAGCAAACGGCCCTTGTGCCATGTCAACTCCAGGTCATGGAGTGGGTGGGAAGAGAGGTGCTGGGATCAGGCAGCCTCGGATCAGGCAGATGACTTCACCGCCTCAGAGACTTGCCGGATCACTGCAGCAGAGACATGGTGGGACATGCACGAAGGGAGATTATTACCGGATCACATCACAAGGCTTGTTACATGGAGGCTTCAAAGAGTGTGTATATTATGGCGTACTTATGGACGCCAGCTACTTTAGGGGAAACGCTGGAACTTCAGCAGAAATGGCGGGAGCTTCGTCCAAAGTGGCGGGAAGTGTTGACTGGGAATTTACACTGAAACCGATCGACGAGTGAATCTATGGCGATCGCTGCGCATAGGGCGAGGTGAGGCGACGAGGCTTTCGGAATACGCACCTGGCTTATCCGGCACGCCCTCCTTCCACTGTGCGACCTTGTTATACACCTGCTCGCGCGCGATCGCTGTGCAAGGGCGAGTGATACGGACTCAGGTGATACCCAGGGATGGGGATGCGGAGGGATACGCACCTGGCTTCTCCGGCACGCCCTCCTTCCACTGCACGACCTTGTAGTACACCTGCTCGCGAGCGATCGCTTGTGACTTAAGCGGCTCCTTGAGGCACGCCCGCAGATGCGCAGCGCACTGATTCGCGTACGCGAGATACGTCATCCCCGCTGCGCGCCAGTACGACGAAGCCGCCATAGTTTACTACTGCTTCTCTCCCTCCACTTGACGGATACTCACAAGGCTACCCGCGAGACGAGGCGTGAGGAAATGGCGGAGACGGGATGGACGTGGCGTGGAGTGGTGGAGAAGTGGTGATGCGGGATGGGAAGCACACAGGCTGGCGGGGGGAGTCGGAAAATAGGGTTGCTTCAAGGAAGGGAGGGGGGAACGGCGGGGAAAGGGCACGGGAGGTGGCGCAAAGGGGGTGGGGGAGAAGTGCGGAGGTATGCGAAGATTGGCTCCCTTCGAGAGTGCTCTGTAACAGCGAAGCGCAATATTTTCCCTGTGCGAGCGAGTAACAGGTCGCGAATTTGTTCGCTCAGCTTCACAGTTTCCAGCAACTGCAGCTGAATCACTTCGCCTCTTTTATTTCTGTCATCACTTCATTCTTGATCGTTTATGGCGGCCTGGTTCCAGGCCAGGCATGTAGAACTTTGCGCATGCGTGTTCGACTACACACCGTGTAATTGAGTAATACGTTTGTGAGGTCGGAGTTTGACGGCGTTCGGAAATGACGGCATTATCTTCGCCCGCTGCGTTCGCGAGGACTGGATTATCCACGCCGTCATCCTTCAGCCGCTCCCTTCCGCTGAATTCGAGGCTTGCGGTTCGCTCCGCACCCCGCAACTGTCGCGTTTCCCGGCTCTCATGCCAAGCAGAATCATCCCAGTCGCCGATTCAATGTCTTGATGATTCAATAGGGTCTTCAGACGTTTCCCAGATAACGATCGAAGCTTCCGAGTCGAATCAATCCGATCCTCTTCTCGACGCGCTGACGTGCAACACGGATGCTGACGTGGCAAGCTTCCACTTTCCGGCTCATCGCAGGGGCCTCGGAGCTCCTCCCCGTGCGCGCTCCGCGTTCGGTGCTGACGTTTTCCGCCACGATTTGCCAGAGCTGCCGGATCTCGACAACCTCTTCGCGCCAGAATCCGTCATCGCCGAGGCGCAGGAGCGCGCAGCGAGAGTATTCGGCGCGTCGGAGACCCGTTTCTTAGTCAACGGCAGCACTGTGGGCGTGCAGGCGGCCATAGTAGCCTGTTGCCGACCCGGCGACGTCCTTATTCTCCCTCGCAACGCTCATCAATGCGCATTTTCCGGTATGGTGCTATCAGGAGCCGTGCCGCACTATATCCTCACTGTGACCGATAATTCTTGGGGTATTGCTCACGGAGTTACCCTGGAGAGCGTTACAGAGGCATTACGCCACGTGGCTGCTACTGGAGCGCGAATAGGAGCTGTTCTGGTGGTTTCCCCGACCTATTATGGGGTATGCAGCGACATCAGGGGAATCGCCCAGGCGTGCCACGAGGCAGGCGCGCCGTTGATAGTAGACGAGGCTCACGGGGCGCACTTTAAGTTCCACAGCGCGCTCCCAGAGACGGCGCTAGATGCGGGGGCGGACATAGTGGTGCAGTCGACGCACAAGGTGCTGGGATCGCTCACTCAGTCCGCCATGCTGCATATCGGCCATGGGGATTCAGGCTCATCGGTTGAGAATGTGGGTGAAGCCGCATTACCACAATCGCCAGAAACACCATTGCAGTCAGCAGTACCACCACCTTCAGCAGCAGCGCCACAGCCAGAAGTACCACTGCCGCCATCACCCCGTGTGAGCCCACGAGACGTGGCGCGAGCGCTGCAGCTGCTGCAGTCATCGTCGCCCTCCTACCTGCTCCTCGCGTCCCTCGACGCCACCACCGGCCATGTCGCCCGCCCCTCTTTCCCCTCCGCCCTCGCTCACGCCCTCCACCTCGCCACCCGCCTGCGCTCCTCCCTGCTTGCGCTCAACCTGCGAGTCCTCCTCAGCCCAGCCCAACCCTCGAGAAGCCTTAAACAGCCCGAGAGGCATGCAGGGTTTGACCCGCTGCGGGTGACGGTGAGCGTGAGGGAGCTGGGGCTGACAGGGTACGAGGCTGATGATGTGCTGAGGCTGCAGCATGGGGTGGTGGCAGAGCTGCCCTTCCTGCATGGCCTCATGTTTGCTGTCAGCACTGGCAGCACTGAGAGCGATGTGGACCGTCTTGTTGCGGCATTCGCTGCCATGGTGGAGGAGAGAGGAGTTAGTGAGTGTGTGGATGGAGTGGAGTGGGAGGAGGGCGAAGTAAAGCTAGAAGAAGTGTTGTTTCCGGTTGCGCCACCGACTAGCAATGGGACTTCAGTGTGCTGCCCGCAATTACCCCCACGGGATGCGTTTTTCTTGCACAGTGAGGTTGTTCCAGCTCAGCAGGCGGTGGGGCGCTACAGTGCAGACATGCTGTGCCCGTACCCCCCTGGAATCCCTGTGTTGCTGCCGGGGGAGGTGGTCACTGCAGAGGCACTGAAACTGCTGCAGAGAGTGCTGAGTCTAGGAGGCTCTGTGTCTGGCCTGCCCTCTGAAAGCCTAGACGCCATACGCGTTATTGGATGAAATGTTATGTTGGATTCATCTGTCCATCGATCGAACATGTTCCTGTCATAGAATCTGATCATTTATATGAAGTGGTAACAACTTGAACCTGATTTCTTATACAGAAGAGTTCTCCATATGCTTCAAAAGGCCAAATACAGTATGTCATGTATTGGACATATTTTAGCAGGATTCGCGGAATCATAAATTTCAGTCAATGCGAATCTTTGCTTGAGCGAGGACAAACCAATTTCGTTGGTTTTGCGGCGGAGCTGCCAGCCCTTGCTTCGGGTCTGTGTCAGGCGGCTCGTCTGCCAGCTTTGAATTGCCGAGCCGATTTTCCCTACGATTTTGTTACACTCCATGGCTTTGATTCCGAACCTGCTCGCTTCTGGTTTGGACTTGCTTGGAGCGAGCTTCGATCAGAGCCCGCGCAAAAGGTTTTACCTGCCGTGCTGGTAGGGCAGGGACGGCGAGACTGCTTGTATTGATTGTATCCTTGCTCTCTGTCTGCCAAAGCCCTCCCCTTCCTGCTCGATCTCTCATATCTGCCTCTTACCTCACTTGCCACCTCGCCGCCATGGCTTCCTCCAGATACCTAGATCGGTCTGATTGTGTTATGATCACGCAGCGGGATAGTTCAGATTGACAACTTTATTATACAGTGCTTCAGATCGCTCGAACTAGCTGGCAAACTTACGAGTGTTGAAATGGTTCCAGTTTTAGTAACTTCTGACGTTATCTTTAGTACGTATCAGATAGGTTCTGCATCCAGCTAGACTCCAGCAGCTCTTGTGGAAGTTAAGGCGAGAATTCGTGAACTGCCGAAGGTTATCGATGCTGCAGTGAACACGTTGAGTAGCTGTGCGACGAGCTAGTCATTATCTGCACGGATTACTCTTACGCACAGTAGTTGCGACTATAGCCATCATCTGTAGCCGCACTTGAAGCAGCGAATCGCTGTAGCAGCCCTGACACGTTTAACTTCAACTGTCACGCATAAAGTATCGGCAGCAGCGGATGCAGCAGAGGATGCAGAAGCGAGCACCGCAGACCCGTGCACAAAGAATACTGACATGTCGATCGCCTGGAGATCTTGTCGATCACGGTCAACGGTCGCTGGCAAAGTCGGCCGGCGCCGGCGTCGATTCTTGTCATTGCGGCGACGATTCTTGTCGTTGCGGCAAAATCTCCGTTCGAGCTTGGAGAGCGAGCACGGCGAAATCTCCGTCCGAGCAGCAAGAGTGAGGGTGGTTCCACGTCGTGACGGCGACGGTTCACGCCGGTTTCGCTGCTTCCAACGAAAATCTGACTCCTCCCACCGGTGATCATCCCGCGGCAGCGCGAGCGAGACAGGCGACGACAGTGGGTCGCGCGACGACGGGAGGCAGCGACGATGCAACGGCTACGACTGAAGGAGGGGAACGGCGCATCAATGCTCGATTAGGGAAAGGAAGCGTCTTGCGTCGAATGGAGCTGAACGGGGGGACGACAGCGACGCGCGACGCCAGTGGGACGCGCGAGGATGGTAGGCGAGTGGAGATGGGAGGCGCGCGACGAGGGGACGCGCGGAAGTATCGCACGTCAGCGCGAGCAAGACTGGCGAGACGCGAAGCGACGGGCGATACGCCAAGCGACGGGCGATACGCCATGTCATGGGCGACACGCCAAGCGACGGGCGAGGCGCCAAGCGACAGGCGAGGCGCCAAGCGACGGGCGAGATGCCAAGCGACGGGCGAGACGCCATGCGACGGGCGACACGCCAAGCGACGGGCGAGGCGCCAAGCGACGGGCGAGGCGCCAAGCGACGGGCGACACGCCAAGCGACGGGCGAGGCGCCAAGCGACGGGCGAGATGCCATGCGACGGGCGAGACGCCATGCGACGGGCGAGACGCCATGCGACGGGCGAGACGCCATGCGACGGGCGAGACGCGAAGCGACGGGCGAGACGCGAAGGGACGGGCGAGACATCACGGAGCGAGCGTCCGTTGACGTGAGGGACTGGCGTAAGGGCGAAGGGAGGAGCGAAGGGCGTGGAACATGGAGGCAACGGGAGGCAGCGACTAAGGGGAGACGCGCGATGAGGGCGGAGGCGCGGCGAGGGAGGATGCGCGTCGAGGGGGGAGGCGCGACGAGGGGATACGCGTGGCGACGGGGGAAGCGCGGCGACGGTGGACTCGTGACGAGGGGGGACGAGGGACGGCGCAACCCTGCAACCCGAGCACGCATACGAGGGACGACGTGCGCCATGCGGCGCGTGCGCGAGTGGTGCGCGAGTGGTGCGGGTGGCGTTCCCCTGAGCCCGCCAAGATGGCCAGGGCTCGGGACATGCTGACGAGTGCGGTCCACACGGAAGGTGGCGCGGTCCCCGAGCTCGGCACATGCTGGCGAGCGCGGACAACATGCAGTACGCCAGATCCGACAAGCTCATCGTGATGGCTCACCGCGTTTTCCCGAGCTGGCCGCTGATCTGACCACCTGGACATGCGGTGCGCCAAAGCCGTGAAGCTCACATCATGGCTCACCGCGTCAACGCCGCTGTGCTTGACTTGCTCGGGGTGAGTGTGAGTGTGGTCCCCTTCCTTTCTCCCATCCTTTCTCCCCTCCCTTGCCCACTCCACTCCCGCCGCCCTCCTCTGCTCTCCGCGTCGACGCGTGTGTTTCCATTTGACGAGCTGCTTGCTCGTTTGCTCGTGTGTTTCCGCGTCACTGACTGCCGCCTCCCAACGTCCCCTTCTCATCCTCCCTGCCCATCCGTCCCCCCATACATTGGAGCAGGATCTGCAGTCGCCAATGAAGCGTGCAGCGGTGATTCCATGGGGGCGGAGGCCAGCGAGCATAGCTTGAGTCCGACCAACATCATTGCGCTCCGCGACCAGGTCAGTGGTCAGAGAGGCTCTGGTCAACGCAGGTCAACGCGAGGTCAACGCAGGTCAATGCTGGTTTGGGTCGCGTTTAAGCCCCATGGGGACGGGGGTCAGCGAGCATGGCATGTGTCTTACCCACATCATTGCGCTCTGCGACCAGACCAGGTGGGTAACACGTTTTGATGAACACAGGGACAATGCATTGAAATGTCTGCCATGCTGGTTACGCACACTCACAGTGCGGCGTTAGTGCAACTGCATACGTGACTTTGGTTGTTGCTGCTGCCGCCCGTGCTGTTGGCTCACTATCCATCTGCTGCTCCTGCATTTGGTTGTACCTCTAACTGCTGAATCTTCTTCCATCTGCTGCATTCCGTGGTGAGTGTGCCTGCTGAGTGAGCAAGTGACCCAGTTACTTGCTGCCCTGGTTGTGAGTGTGTTATGAGTGCCTCATGTGGTTTTGAGTGTGTTATGACTGCCTCATGTGCTTGTGAGTGTGTTATGACTGCCTCATGTGGTTGTGAGTGTGTTATGACTGCCTCATGTGGTCGTGAGTGTGATATGACTGCCTCATGTGGTTTTGAGTGTGTTATGACTGCCTCATGTGCTTGTGAGTGTGTTATGACTGCCTCATGTGGTTGTGAGTGTGTTATGACTGCCTCATGTGGTCGTGAGTGTGTTATGAGTGCCTCATGTGGTTGTGAGTGTGTTATGACTGCCTCATGTGGTCGTGAGTGTGTTATGAGTGCCTCATGTGGTTGTGAGTGTGTTATGACTGCCTCATGTGGTCGTGAGTGTGATATGACTGCCTCATGTGGTTTTGAGTGTGTTATGACTGCCTCATGTGGTTGTGAGTGTGATATGACTGCCTCATGTGCTTGTGAGTGTGTTATGACTGCCTCATGTGGTTGTGACTGTGTTATGACTGCCTCATGTGGTCGTGAGTGTGATATGACTGCCTCATGTGGTTGTGAGTGTGATATGACTGCCTCATGTGCTTGTGAGTGTGTTATGACTGCCTCATGTGGTCGTGAGTGTGTTATGACTGCCTCATGTGGTCGTGAGTGTGATATGACTGCCTCATGTGGTTTTGAGTGTGTTATGACTGCCTCATGTGGTTGTGAGTGTGATATGAGTGCCTCATGTGGTTTTGAGTGTGTTATGACTGCCTCATGTGCTTGTGAGTGTGTTATGACTGCCTCATGTGGTTGTGCGTGTGTTATGACTGCCTCATGTGGTCGTGAGTGTGTTATGAGTGCCTCATGTGGTTGTGAGTGTGTTATGACTGCCTCATGTGGTCGTGAGTGTGTTATGAGTGCCTCATGTGGTTGTGAGTGTGTTATGACTGCCTCATGTGGTCGTGAGTGTGATATGACTGCCTCATGTGGTTTTGAGTGTGTTATGACTGCCTCATGTGGTCGTGAGTGTGTTTTGAGTGCCTCATGTGGTTGTGAGTGTGTTATGACTGCCTCATGTGGTCGTGAGTGTGTTATGACTGCCTCATGTGGTTGTGAGTGTGATATGACTGCCTCATGTGCTTGTGAGTGTGTTATGACTGCCTCATGTGGTCGTGAGTGTGTTATGACTGCCTCATGTGGTCGTGAGTGTGATATGACTGCCTCATGTGCTTGTGAGTGTGTTATGACTGCCTCATGTGGTTGTGAGTGTGTTATGACTGCCTCATGTGGTTGTGATTGTGATATGACTGCCTCATGTCGTTGTGATTGTGATATGACTGCCTCATGTGGTTGTGAGTGTGTTATGACTGCCTCATGTGGTTGTGATTGTGATATGACTGCCTCATGTGGTTGTGAGTGTGTTATGACTGCCTCATGTGGTTGTGATTGTGATATGACTGCCTCATGTGGTTGTGATTGTGATATGACTGCCTCATGTGGTTGTGAGTGTGTTATGACTGCCTCATGTGGTTGTGAGTGTGTTATGACTGCCTCATGTGGTCGTGAGTGTGTTATGACTGCCACATGTGGTTGTGAGTGTGTTATGACTGCCTCATGTGGTTGTGAGTGTGTTATGAGTGCCTCATGTGGTCGTGAGTATGATATGACTGCCTCATGTGGTTGTGAGTGTGATATGACTGCCTCATGTGCTTGTGAGTGTGTTATGACTGCCTCATGTGGTCGTGAGTGTGTTATGACTGCCTCATGTGGTTGTGAGTGTGATATGACTGCCTCATGTGCTTGTGAGTGTGTTATGACTGCCTCATGTGGTTGTGAGTGTGTTATGACTGCCTCATGTGGTTGTGAGTGTGTTATGACTGCCTCTTGTGGTCGTGAGTGTGTTTTGAGTGCCTCATGTTGTTGTGAGTGTGTTATGACTGCCTCATGTGGTCGTGAGTGTGTTATGACTGCCTCATGTGGTTGTGAGTGTGATATGACTGCCTCATGTGCTTGTGAGTGTGTTATCACTGCCTCATGTGGTTGTGAGTGTGTTATGACTGCCTCATGTGGTTGTGAGTGTGTTATGACTGCCTCATGTGGTCGTGAGTGTGTTTTGAGTGCCTCATGTGGTTGTGAGTGTGTTATGACTGCCTCATGTGGTCGTGAGTGTGATATGACTGCCTCATGTGGTTTTGAGTGTGTTATGACTGCCTCATGTGGTCGTGAGTGTGATATGACTGCCTCATGTGCTTGTGAGTGTGTTATGACTGCCTCATGTGGTTGTGAGTGTGTTATGACTGCCTCATGTGGTCGTGAGTGTGATATGACTGCCTCATGTGGTTGTGAGTGTGATATGACTGCCTCATGTGCTTGTGAGTGTGTTATGACTGCCTCATGTGGTTGTGAGTGTGATATGACTGCCTCATGTGCTTGTGAGTGTGTTATGACTGCCTCATGTGCTTGTGAGTGTGTTATGACTGCCTCATGTGGTTGTGAGTGTGTTATGACTGCCTCATGTGGTCGTGAGTGTGTTATGAGAGCCTCATGTGGTTGTGAGTGTGTTATGACTGCCTCATGTGGTCGTGAGTGTGTTATGAGTGCCTCATGTGGTTGTGAGTGTGTTATGAGTGCCTCATGTGGTCGTGAGTGTGATATGACTGCCTCATGTGGTTGTAAGTGTGTTATGACTGCCTCATGTGGTTGTGATTCTGATATGACTGCCTCATGTGGTTGTGATTGTGATATGACTGCCTCATGTGGTTGTGAGTGTGTTATGACTGCCTCATGTGGTTGTGAGTGTGTTATGACTGCCTCATGTGGTTGTGAGTGTGTTATGACTGCCTCATGTGGTCGTGAGTGTGTTATGACTGCCACATGTGGTTGTGAGTGTGTTATGACTGCCTCATGTGGTTGTGAGTGTGTTATGAGTGCCTCATGTGGTCGTGAGTGTGATATGACTGCCTCATGTGGTTGTGAGTGTGATATGACTGCCTCATGTGCTTGTGAGTGTGTTATGACTGCCTCATGTGCTTGTGAGTGTGTTATGACTGCCTCATGTGGTCGTGAGTGTGTTATGACTGCCTCATGTGGTTGTGAGTGTGATATGACTGCCTCATGTGCTTGTGAGTGTGTCATGACTGCCTCATGTGGTTGTGAGTGTGTTATGACTGCCTCATGTGGTTGTGAGTGTGTTATGAATGCTGCAAGTGTGTGCTTGCTGCCCTGGTTGTGAGTTTGTTATGACTGCCTCATGTGGTTGTGATTGTGATATGACTGCCTCATGTGGTTGTGATTGTGATATGACTGCCTCATGTGGTTGTGAGTGTGTTATGACTGCCTCATGTGGTCGTGAGTGTGTTGTGACTGCCTCATGTGGTTGTGAGTGTGTTATGACTGCCCCATGTGTGTGCTTGTCGCCTTGGTTGTGAGTGTCTTGTGACTGCCTTGGGGTAGGTAAGGTAAGCAAGGGTGCAATCATGCAGCTCACTTCCCTAGGGGCAGCAGCCTTGGGTGGTTTGTGGCTTGTTGTGCGGGGGTGACAGGGGAACTAGTGCGACGACGGCCCTCGGTGCTCAAGTAACGAACCTGGCGTTAAAGCACAATAGGCCCTGCTGGAGTCGAGCCGGCCGGCTCTGGTTCGGGCAGGCTCATGCTACGCCAGGGGGTGGATTTGAGTCTTGTGCCAGTTCGCGCTTTTCCGCTTCCTCTCTTTGCACCTCAAAAAGCAACCACTCAAGACGTGCTGTTCCCGAATGGGGGTGTCTGGATGCTCCTCTTTATGTTGGCAAGGTGGGACCCTCATGGCTGTTGGTGGCAATGGCCATTGCTGTGGTCCAGGTATGTGGTGGACATTGTGCATTGAGCATTAACATATAACATTTTTTCCCGAACGTCGAACCTCCACCTCAACGTGGTGTTCGGGTGAACATCAGGGCAACAGTCCTGATGGCCAAGAGAGATTTCAATGATATTTGTAGGTTGTTCAATGGTACCCGATTTACTGGCTGTCTTTGAACTTATCTTGCTCGTGAAAGCAGCAGTTTCACTGTGGTCAGGTAGCGAATCTCGGCAGCATTGGATGGCTGTACTTGTTTCCCATCAGCAGCATCTGGGTTTGCATGCCGTCTGGCAGAATTATGTGAGTGCAGAGACGTCTGTGCAACACTGAGTGGCCTCATGGAATTTTCAGTCACCGGCACCTTCATACTCACATCAATCTCT